GATGATATAAAATAAACGTAGGAGTACACTCAAATAGAAAAAGACAGTGCATTCACTGGTTTATTGGAGCAATTGTAAAGTTTTGAAACTCTATTATCTCCCCTGAATAGAGTTTGCAGTGCCTTCTCATGCAAATACTTAGCTTGCTTGGAAGGCACATTTGGATTTTTTACGAACATTATTTTTAGTTTTTAATTCTTTTAGAAAATAGACTTGCCTAGATTTAATCTTTATGCCCCAATTATTATTTACATCGGAGTTGCGTCATAAAATGTATTCGGATTAAAACGACACAATGTCAATGACTTTATAAAACTAGTAAAAGCATATTGTGTATTGGCCTATTAGGTTTACACTTTAAATTTACAGGTTCATTTAACTTTAACTCTCCCAAGTCTCATCAGACAATCGGACATGCCAAATCCATTGATATGACCACTTCGAAGAACTTTTTTCAAATCTAGGAATCATGATTTTTTAAAAATTTTCCAGGGATACTTTGTTTTCTTCTCTCTAGACTCCTCCTCACATCTCTAGTGCTCCACCTCTAGCATATAGACCTTACTGGGGTATGGTGACACTTTGTGTTGCTTCAGTCACCTGCTCACGGCTCAACCCCCCCCCCCCCCCCCCTAAAATGTCTGGCACCACCCCAGTAAAAATATGAAAATCTGTCTATGTTAAAAAGATAGACTAGTATTAATTTTATGACTTATTATTTATAATATAATTCATTTATAATATAATTCATTAATATAATAATTAATTTAATATTATTTATAATATAATATTCTTATCTAATACAAAGGGTTTATTGTTTAATGTTATAATCCGCCAATCACCTGTTCATATTGGTAGAAGACGAAAGAGGGAGTATTAAACTACATATGTTTTATATAAATTTTATTAAGCAGAGACATATGGCTGTAGGCAGATACAGATGTCCGGGATTCAGTTATCATTTTCTTGTGGCAAGTGCCCAGTAGACTATTAACCTTTAGTCATGCACCAAAGCTGCAATATTAAGAAATGCAATAATTTGTCCAATACCATATCACACAGTTACTGACAGTATAGTTTACTTCCGGTTGCTGTTCATGGTTCTTTAAACCAGCTAATTCCTTTGAAAACAATTGGACTGGTATTAACTTTTAATATTATATTATTTGAATTGTAACTAGGGACCTTAAACAAAAGCCTTATGGTTTCTAGAAGGTTCCTAGCCCTACTATTGTAAATATTTTCTATTTAAATTGTTAATTTTATAAACTGATTTGGGCGAATATATTAAATAAATAAATAAAATATTTATGGAAGCTGGGCTGGACGTTATAGAAAATATATAAAATGGGCAAAAGATGGGCGCCCTAGGGGACGACACAATCAAACGTATGCGGAGTATAAAGAAGCAAAACGGTTATTTAGACGTGAGCAGCACGTTGCATACAAGAATACTCACTGAGAGAGTATGCTAACATGTCAAGTACGTTGGAGCAAGATCGAAATAGATTTTGGAAACTTCTTAACCTCACCAAGAAAAATAAACCAAGTGACGTTAATCTTGAGATAGGTGATGAAATGGTGCATGATCCGCATAAGATCACTGGTTTGTGGGCGAATTATTTTGAAGACTTGCATGAGTTTAAACGATATGAAAATGAAAACATCTTTGATAGTGGTTTCCTGAAGGGCATTAAATCTGAGATTCATCGATTGGATCTTCTCGAAGATGAGAGTGACACTGTTCTCGCCCAACCGTTCACACTCTACGAGGTAAATCAAGTAATCTATGACCTACCGAATTCTAGCTGTGCCTGATTGTAAAATACACCGACTTCAGGGGGCATACCAAACGGAGCAGAGTGCATTAACAACTGCATTTATAATAGACGAATCTATCAGAGACTGCTGTGAAAATAAGGACAGGGTTTACACATGTTTTGTTGATATCAGCAAAGCGTTCGATCGTATGTGAATAGACGCAATGCTTTACAAGTTATACCATCACATGGGAATTACTGGTAAAACGTGGCGTATTATAAAAAACTGGTATACCAACATGAAAGAGGTTATTTGTGCAAATGGTTTGTATTCTCGTGAATACAATATATTACAAGCTACTAGACAAGGTTGTATCATATCCCCCTGGTTATTCTTAGTCTACATCAATGATTTAATATCTGAGTTAGAAAACAGCAAGTGGGGAATTTTTCTGTACACTATCTATTACGGCTCACCAACTTTTGCCGATGACATTACTCCATTGTGCCGTCTGAAAGTAGCGTTAGATCATCTTTTAGACATTTTAAACACATTCAGTCGGTATTGAAGAGTTACATTTAACATTAAGAAAACGGTTACTATGTTATTTGGAGAGAAAGCGATAAAAATTCCAGCACCGGAAAAAAATTTGGTTCTAGGTAGTCTACCTATTAAAGAAGTGCTAACGTGGAAAAATCTGGGTATCATATGGAACGAAAACAACAAGTTTGACTCAACAATTTATAATAAGACATCGTGCTGAAGAAAGGCTATGCAGTAATTGATATGATTGTGACTATGGGGTGTCGGCATGGCGGCCTGAACCCCAAGGTAGCAACTAAGCTGTGGAGAAGTATTGCCCTTCCGCATCTGCTGTACGGTTGTGAATTGTGGTACTTAACTATGAAACAGTTCTCCAAACTTGAGAAAATCCAAAATATATTTTGTCGGATAGCACAATCGCTACTTCCAGGCATTTCAGGATCAGATATACAGTCAGAGTAACATACAAAACATCAAATTATAGTCAATTTATACAAGTTCTTTTTTCAGCCACTGTTATACAATTAGGTGTAGTTCTGATTGCACAGCAATGTGTTGTAGCAAATTTAAGTTCTCCTGAAGACCTGAAGCAGTAATTTTTCAACTCTTTCCACATGACAAGCAAAATTATCTGACAAACCGTTTGTTCAAAGTCCATAGATTTCTTTATAATGCACATTAAACACTGTTCCAAACACATCATGCTCTTCCGCATCTGCTGTACGGTTGTGAATTGTGGTACTTAACTATGAAACAGTTCTCCAAACTTGAGAAAATCCAAAATATATTTTGTCGGATAGCACAATCGCTACTTCCAGGCATTTCAGGATCAGATATACAGTCAGAGTAACATACAAAACATCAAATTATAGTCAATTTATACAAGTTCTTTTTTCAGCCACTGTTATACAATTAGGTGTAGTTCTGATTGCACAGCAATGTGTTGTAGCAAATTTAAGTTCTCCTGAAGACCTGAAGCAGTAATTTTTCAACTCTTTCCACATGACAAGCAAAATTATCTGACAAACCGTTTGTTCAAAGTCCATAGATTTCTTTATAATGCACATTAAACACTGTTCCAAACACATCATGCTCTTCCGCATCTGCTGTACGGTTGTGAATTGTGGTACTTAACTATGAAACAGTTCTCCAAACTTGAGAAAATCCAAAATATATTTTGTCGGATAGCACAATCGCTACTTCCAGGCATTTCAGGATCAGATATACAGTCAGAGTAACATACAAAACATCAAATTATAGTCAATTTATACAAGTTCTTTTTTCAGC